GGCGGGGGGGTGGGGTGGGGGGTTACTTGGTGCATTTTAATGGAGAGCCAACCCCTACCCTGTATTAATTGTTAGTCATTCTTGTCTCCACTCCTCCTCTTCTTCACCGGTCTCCTCTTTCTCCATCTCTGCCCATCGCTCTTATGGAGTGTGCAATTTGTACAGATAGAGAGAGGGAGAGGGAGAGGGAGAGAGAGAGAGAGACTCTACACATACAGAGGGAGTAATTATTCCCTTATTGTTTTCGGCGCACGGCACTGACACTCCGCAGAAAACGGTGTCATTAGTGTGACAGCGAGGACACCAGTGGAGAGAGAGAGAGAGAGAGAGAGAGAGGGGGGGGGGGGGGGGGGGCCCGACGGACTTAATTCTCATTGACAGTCACATTAACACAGGGGCAGCACTCTTAATCCTGGGGAGATTACTCTGACCCCCCCCCCGTCCTCCCCTGTCCCCCCTCCTGTCCCCCAGCTGTCCTACAGAGACACACTCTCACACACCTGTATGGCAATCCGATCTGAGTGCGTTCTTCTCGTCCCGCAGTGAAGAGACTTATTCCCGGTCTCTGTCACCTTTTGTCCACTTCTTCCCTCTTAGCACACACACACACACACACACACACACACACACACACACATATCCGGTCCACCTCAGGTCCACCCCCCGCCCCCCATCTGTTTATCCCCCGCAGGGCTGTTTGAGATGACTGACTGAGAACCGGGGGGGGGGGGGAGGGGGGTGCCGGGCTTTGGGGCGGAGGACGAGGCGAGGGAGGTGAGAGAAATGAGCTGGGGGGACAGAGGGAAATGTTTGTGAGAGATGAGCTGAGGATTCTCTCTATCTCTCCCTCTCTCCCCATCCTCTCTCTCTCTCTCCCTCTGTGAAAAGGCAGCCTGTGTGTGTGTTGTGTGTGTGTGAAATGACTGAGGTTGCTCTTTGTCTGTAACTAGGAGAAACTTTGCATAGTGGAAGTGTGTGTATCAGCTCTTTCTGTGCAAAAGAAAGAAAATGTCACATGTATAAAAAGCATTCTTCAAAAGTTTTTTTTTTTTTGAGGTTGAAATACTCATATGAAAAGGACACCGTCCCATAATCCTTAATGGGAAGAGAGACGTATCCATAGACTGCATATAAGAAATGAGCAGAGCTAGCACTTTACAGTCTACGTCGGTGAAGTCGACCCAGCAAACAGACCAGAAAAGTTTCTGCGGGATTTACGTAAAGGCTATCCTGGTTCTATAGGCTGTGAATCTGATGCTTCGACCACACGACGTGTTCTGCGTGTTCTCCTCTGATGTAGTGTCTGTGAAGTTCACCTCCAAACATACAGCTCTCATTTCCAACACATTTTTTAGTCGGACTCAAATACCACTGTCTGTTTGACTTTCTGTCCAGATGTTTTGCAGCAGATTTTTAACTTTACAGCTGAGACCGCAGCTCTGACAGGAAAATGTTAACTGTAGGTGTACACCGTGTGAGCAGGAGGTTATTTTCACACACTCTTGTCCATAAAACCAGCAGAGCATTTCCGCCTGTTTTTCCATGAGGCTGTGACTAGGTCACATTTTGTGCTTATTTACATGTTTTTTTGTGTTAATTATAGTCAGGAATAGAACAACAAACTCAGCAGATTGTATCCAATAATACTACATTTTGTACTGTAGTTGATTTTTTCTAATATCTGGGGGCATGTTTCATTTGACCATTTTTCATTTGTCACTTTACTTTTTTAAACGATATTTTAAGCTAAATGCACGAATACTGCATTGTTAGACCGAGGGGAGGGGGTGAGGGGGGGGGGTCCTGCAGTGAACTGAGTGGACTCAGGTTTGACGGTTTATTGGTTGCATTAAAATGTAATAGGAAAAAAAAAGAGAAATGATCTTTCTAATCGTGGCACTTGTCTGATCAGAGCGCGACAGCGCAGATGCTTGAGTGCCATCTGTGCTCGTCCGTGGCGTTCCCGGTGATACGCTGGATGAATAAGCAAGAGTCAGTGGTGTAGAACTGGTGAGGTGACAGTGGTATGACAGATTAGAGATCACCTTCACACACACTCTTCTCACACACACACGTACACAGACTGGCATTAACAGATTGACTGTGATGAATGGCTACTTCCCAAGTGAGAGGAGGAGGAGTGGAGGAGAAAAGAGAAAAGAGAAAAGAGGCATTTTCAACCTGCCACGGGCAGAGAGATGGAGAAAGGCCCCTCATTTGTAAAAATGACAGTGGCCTGGACGAGTTTTCATGATCCTGTCAGCCTCCGGGCGCCTCGAGTCAGAGAGCATGAATTGGCGTCTCAAAGAAGCGGCGGATGCTAGCACCTTCGCTCGCCTCCTCTTCAAATCTGGTTGAGAGGAAATCCACTCAGGGCCTGGTGTCTCCTCTCCTCTCCTCTCCATCAGGAGATCCGTGACTCTAATGGAAGGAGCAGAGATATTAGATCAATGAGCATGTGCAGGCCGTGGATATGTTTACAGTCTCGACCACAAAACCACAGCCGGACAGAGGTCACGCTGCCGTGTAAGGAAAAGGTCAAAGTTCAGACGGTGTTGGTGGCTGAAGTGTAATGTGTGATATCCTCCTAAAAAGTCAGTCTGTGGATGAATGAACCTAACGGTATATTGACTACTACAGTTGAAATACTATCATTCTCACCTTCACTGTTGGCTTTAGAAATCCACACATGATTGGATTTTACTCGCTGAATAATTTAAATTCATTGGGCTGCTGTTCCAGGCCACAATTAACCAGCATTTGCAAAAAAAAAAAAAACCAAAAAATCTACCTAGAGCTGAAGAATTGACCGGTCTGTGCCATTTATCGCAGAAGTATCTGTATCACTTATCACCAACACTCAGATCCGCTCAGAGTTCTTTATTAGGAGCCAACATTACCAACCTGAAGATTAATCTTTTTAATTATCCTGTAACAAAGTCATGAATCTTAATGGCTAAGAAAACGAATGTATTTATTACTTCATTTAAGTACTCGGCTCCATCCTCTGCTTTATTTGGATATTTTTGATTATTATTTTATTTTTGTAATGGGGTTGTAAAGTCCAATTCTGCGACCACCATCATCATCCCCCCCGCCCCCACTCTGTCCACATTAGTCACACCAAAAATGAATGTTTTTTTTTGTATATGTAACTCACCAATCCTTTTATCCTGATTTTGTTTTAACATCTTCAAGACTAAAATCGTTTCAAACGTGTGAGGTTGTGATGTTCTTTTTATAATTGTGTAAGATTCTCGTCATCTGCTCTACAATATGGGAGTCAGTCAGTGACAGTGAGGCCAGCGTGTCCTGCATACGCTTCAACACCACTGGCTTTATGCTTTAAACTCCTGGCCTGTGGGCCAGAAGTGGCCCGCAAACAGTGCAAATCCAGCCCACAACTAAACATAAGCAATAGTTTGAGGTCATTTTTTAAAAATCTGTTCATTAAAATTCTTTAGTTGATCATTTAGGGGAAATTGTATGTTTAATGTTTAGTACAATAAACCAACAACAGATTTTCTATTATATTTATTGAACATCCAACATGTGGCTCTCTGAGGAAATAATGTAGCAGTTCATTTGACTTTGAGACACCCACTAACCCCCCCCCCCAACACCTTTGCTTAGATTCATCATAACAAACTGTATAACGTCACATTTACACGACAACTCTCGCCCATTGTTGACGTGACACAGGGATTTAAAACGACTGGTTGATATTTTTCTGTTGTGTTTTTGACAACTGACAAATATCTCCTCCTTCCTCCCTGTGTAATAAATGCAACTGAACAGGTTCAGTCCTCGATCTGCTGCCTCGTCTCATATATTTATATTTGTGTGTGTGTTTGTCTCTGTGTGTGTGTGACAGCAGGCACCTGTTCGCTCCCCAGCGACAGCTGGGAGACGTGCTGTAAACCGTAGAGTGTGAGCGACTGTTTGCAGGATAATGAAAAAGAGTCTGGTGTTCTTCGTGGCAGGAGTTCTGCTGCGAAGGATGTCACGGTGGTCTTCTTGAGGAGCGGCGAGGGTCAACCCCTGTCTGACGAAGGACTCTTTCCTGTCTCCTCCTCTTCCGTCATCTCTTTCTTTAACGTGACATCTCCACCTTCACATTTTAAACCATCTCAATCCTTTCTTTCTTGTCAACTTGATCTCCGAGCTGGTCAACGTCAGCTCCTCCTCTGATCTGATCATTTCTTATCATGTTCATCGCGATCACTGACATTGAAAATCACACTGTTT